TCCTTCCTTCCTTCCTTCCTTCCTTCCTTCCTTCCTTCCTCTGACTCAGCCATCCTTTCAAGGTCAGTAAAATGAGGGCCCAGATCATTGGGGGCAAGAGGCTGACTCTAAACTGCTTAGAGATGGCTGTGAAGTGCTGTAAAGCAGTATATAAGTCTTAAGTGCTTTTTCCCTCCCTCCCTCCCTCCCTCCCTCCCTCCCTCCCTTCCTTGCCATGGTGGCACAGTGTCTAAAATGCAGTATTGTAGGCTAATTCTGCCAACTATCAGGAATTTGATTCTCACCTCAAGGCTGACTCCAGGTTCTTTCCTTCTGAGGTCGGTAAAATGTGGACCTAGATGGTTAGGGACAATGTGCTGACTCTGTAAACCACTCAGAGAGAGCCGTAAAAACACTGTGAGGTGGCATATAAGTCTTAAGCGCTGTTGCTAATCCGTCTGTCTCTCTTTCCTAGGTCCACGTAGTCCTGAAGCTGTGGAAAAGCGGATTTAGCTTAGACAGTGGCGAGCTGAGGAGCTACCAAGATCCCTCCAACTCTCAGTTCCTGGAGTCCATCCGTCGGGGGTAATACTTTCTGTCCTGGGGAAGTTTCAGCCCCACAGCTGGCACTCACCAGCTGCTCAGATCTGACCTTCTGGAATGACCTGGGGCGTGGCACAAAGGCAACACAGTCAGATAATCAATAAGAGTCCCTTTATTCGCTCCCAGCAGCCTGCCGCAGTCAGCATGCATCTCTTTTAAACTCTCTTCCCAGCTGTGGCTAAAGAAGGGAATCAGGGCCCTTTCCTCCCCCGTAAGCCACGCAACCCACGTTGCTCCCTTCTCCATTCCTTCTTGCTTGCCCTAGGATGAAGCGGTGGTGGGCCTGGTTCTTCCTCCGAACTCCCTCTCCCTTGCTCTTACTTCTCCCCTGCTCTGCCCAGCTGGACTTTGCCCTTCTCCAGTTTCCTCCACAGCCACCGGAGCCACACTCCCGCTCCCTGTCAGCTGTCCGTCTTCCTCCTCGGATTCAGACTCCGACAGGGACATGACACCTTCTTGGGACTCCGTTTGTCCTGAAAATAGAAACGGGGAGAGTCCCAGGTTGCGTCTTCCTTTGTTTGGGAAAGGGCAGTAAGTGGACGTCTCCTGAGAGCAGCCTTCCTTCTTTTCCCTTCCCTTCTAGAGAAGTCCCCGCCGAGCTCCGCCGGTTGGCGCGTGGCGGGCATGTCAACCTGGATCTAGAGGACCACCGCGATGAGGATTTCATGAAGTCCAGGGGTACCTTCAAGGCATTCACCGGAGAAGGCCAGAAGCTAGGCAGGTAAGTAAGCAAGGGGGGTATTTAGGAACAGTCCTCGACGTACAACCACAATCGAGCCCAAAGTTTCTGTCGTCAAGCGAAGCATCCATTACTTGAGTTTTTGCCCCCATTTTACGACCTCCCTTGCCACAGTCATTAAGTGAATCACTGCCGTTGATAAATTAGTAAGTTAAGTGAATTTAGCCTGACAGTGAGAACAATCCACCCATGGGACAGAAATTGCTCTCAGAAGTTGTGGGAGCGCCATCCCTTGAGGCTTTCAAGAAGAGATTGGACTCCCATCTGTCAGAAATGGTGTAGGGTCTCCTGCTTGGGCAGGGGGTTGGACTAGATGGCCTTTAAGGTCCCTTCCAACTCTGATTATCTGTTATATTGACTGTGCTTGTCAGAAGGCCGCATGGCACAGAGGTAACACAAGCAGCTGGCAGCTCAAACCGTCCCTTTATTGCTCTAAATTTCTCCAAAACGCTCCCACATTTCTGGCAAGTCCCAGAGCAAAGTGATATCACACACACACACACACACACACACACACACACACACTCCAGCAGGGCAATTCGAGGAGCCCAGGAAGCCAAGGAGCAAGGCAAGTCATCCAGGAATCCAGAACTAATGCAAGTGTTCTGTCCTAGGCCTCCCCAAAAAGCACTTAAGTCAATTCTTGAGTCCCGGCAAAAAAATCTCTTCTATTACATTAATGTGAATTTATTTCATTCACAGTCGGTCAGCGGCTTGGCCAAACAGCCTTGCGAAGGTAGACTAATGAGCTCAGACCTTTATCAATCCTGGAACGCTGCCCGGTAAATAGTTCCACGCTCAGTGCTGGCAGGGAAGGGCTGGGTATACAGACAAATTTCCACGAGGCTGGAACAGATAAAACTACCGAACGAACAAGCGAGTTGTTTCCTGCAAAAGCCCCCTCCCCTTTTGCTTGTCTTTTAATCCTGACGGGAGGGGCCATTCATCATCCACCTGTGGCCTTACTCCCACGTCGACCCTGAGTTCTTAATTGTGCCTTCCTTTTGGCAGCTCTGCGCATGCGCAGGCTGGGAACCGATTCCAGAAGCTGAAGGTAGCTGATGACTGCCAGCCTGCCCTCGCCCCATCTCTGCCTCTGATGCAGAGCCCTCGTCCCGAGCCTTCCTCGGCCTCCAAAACTGGCCCAGGTTCCTCCCCAACCTCCTCACTACTGTCCGACTCTACTGCCAGCTCCGCCAGCCGCCGGCGGGCTACAACACTAACCCAGGAAACTTCAAACATCGGCACTTAACACTCCATGAATTCTGCGTTTGTTCCTGACAAATGCCCCTCCCCACAGCGTCTCCTTAAGTCTCCTCTGTCCCCTGGTGTGCCTTGTGAAGAGGGGCGGGACGCTCTCCTCCCAAGTAGTTGGGTCAGCCTGTGCTGTTCTCACCTTCTCTCCACTCTCCATGCTCTTGGATCAGGAGGGGACGGTCGTTGCTCATTGCCTGAGCTCTCATATTCACTGCTTTGCCTCTCTTGGTCATCCTGCCCTCTTTCCTCCGAATCCTGACCTCACTCAGCCTGCTCCTCCCCATTTTCCTCCCAAGCCAATGGAGTCGCCCCGCTCGATCTCCCTCTGCAGATTCAGGCTCCGACGAGGGCGTGACTGCTGCAAAAAACGATCACATGACCCTTGGACACTGCAACCGTTGTAAATATGAGCCAGCCACCAAGCATTTGAATTTTGATCCCACGACCAGGGGGACGCTGCAACAGTCATAACTGTAAGAAGCGGTCATGTCACATTTGTTTGTGCCGTTGTAACTTTGAATGGTCACTAAACAAAATGTGGTAAGTCAAGGACTAGCTGTATTTTAGTTATTAAATTTATACGCTGCCCATTTTTTTCCCCAAAGAACATGTTTATTGGATACATCGTATTGGCACAGCTAGTGAAAACCAACTCTAAAGTTTCCCGCGGTTTTAGCCTACTTAAAAGGGCAAAAGTTTCCCTCCCCAAATGTCACAGATCACATTGTCCAATAAAGTGGTTTGGTGATTCCTTGGGTCACTCCTTCCTCCCAACTGCTACCAGTGGGGTGCCAGGATTCCAGCAATCGCTCTAATTCAATCATGATTCTCGAGCCAAACTTCAAAAAACTTCGAAGGATTCATTAGAGGCGACATACTGGCCCTGCCCTGCATGAAGCCAACTCCGGCCTACGTCATTTAGGGGGGGGGGAACTCCCTGGGACCCACTTTCCCCCCTCCCCCCTGGGTGTCTCATTTACCAGATTCTCCAGTTGAGCACCTTAAGGAGCTGGGTGTCATCAATCACGTTCTCCAATTGAATATATTCCTGGGCAAAAGCTCTGGTAGGTTAGCTACAATCTTTTAAAGATAAGAGTTGGAATGTACTTTTGTTTCCAAACTGCTGCACTGCTCTTCCAGATTTCCTTCCTCCCAACCCCCTCCTTTTTTTAATGGCAACTACTAAAACAGGCATAGGAACATTTTATGAGTTGACACTGGGTAGCTGACAGTATCCTAAATCAGCGGTCACCAACCGGTGGGCCGCGAGAAAATGTTGGTGGGCCGCAGAGAAATCTCACCCCCAGAGCACACACCCCCCAAAGCAATTAATCCAGGCTGCACAGAAACGCAAGGCTGCGCCGCCCACATGGCCCGCGGGAACCCTCCCCGCCCACTCACTCATTACCCGGCAAACTTGTCTGCTAAATTGCTATTTTTCCGACCATCAGCTGTGAGATTTAGATTAGCTAGGAAGCAGGAAATGGTTGGATTTCTTGCTTTCTTGCTTTCTAGTACAGCCGAAGCTCCCTCAGGACTGAAGTTTCTATTATTCAGTGCAGACTTACGGCAACCAAATATTATGTGACAGACTGAGCTAGCCGATGGCAGATAGATAGATCTCTGAATGAATCTGTGATTCTGTGAGCAACTCAATCTGCCTGCCTGCTTTGCCTGATTTTGGGTAAAAGTTGCTCTTTTTTTAAAATAAAAAAATTCAATATTTATATAAATATTTATAATATTTACATACAAGCCATGCCCAGCCAGTCACATGACCACCAAGCCACACCCACAAATTAGGCCACACCCAACAGAACCAGTTAGTGGTTCCCTGGGATTTAAAAATATGAGTTTGGTGGTCCCTGAGGTCCAAAAGGTTGGCGACCCCTGTCCTAAATAACAATACAGGTAGTCCTTGATTTACAGCCATTTCTTTAGTGGCCATTCATAGTTACAAGGGCACTGAAAGAAGTGACTTGGGACCTTTTTTTCACAATTACGAGTGTTGCAGCTGGACGCAAAAAGGGTATTACACGTCTTTGTAACTTTGAACAGACACTAAACTGTTGTAAGCGGAGGACTGCCTTTCCTTCCTTCACAGGAAAAAATTGTATTTATTCAGAGGTGTCTCTGCCTTGAATATAACCTACGTTGAACTGCGCAGCTCAGTCGCACATCAGCAAAGGAAAAGTTTTATGGCATTTTTTTGGTTATGTCGTAAACTGCTTTATGATAACGTTTATCTCATAAAACTGTTTTTATGACCTTGGCTAGATTTCAATTCCACGGGATTTTACTTACGCTTTCTGTAAGTTAGTCCATTTGAGCTACATCGGTTTAAAAGGTTTTTTTCCCCCCCTAGGAAGCTTTGCTCCATTAAAAGCTGCAGGGATCAAAGTCTCCGTAGTACACAGGTAGTCCTTGACTTACAACCATTGGCTTAGTGACGGTACAACAGATCAAAGTTACAATGGCACTGAAAAAAAGTGATGTTTTTCACACAACCGTTGCAGGGTTGTGTGATCAAAATTCAGGCACTTGGCAATTGGGTCATATTTACAACACACACACACACACACACACACACTTCATGTGATCACTTCTTGCATGTTTGGTGTAGTGGTTAAGGTAGCCAGGAGACAGTGAGTTTTAGTCAGTCCCACCTTAGGTGTGAAAGCCAGCTGGGTGACTTTGGGCCAATCACCAGGGGAAGGTGAGTTCTAGTCCCGCCTTAGGCATGAAAGCCGTCTGGGTGACTTTGGACCAATCACCAGGAGACAGTGAGTTCTAGTCCTGCCTTAGGCATGAAAGCCGGCTGGGTGACTTTGGGCCAATCACCAGGGGAAGGTGAGTTCTAGTTATCAGCTTTGGAAGCCATATGAGCACCAGTCATTTCCACATTGCCACATTCTTGAGCCTGGGAAAATAATGGGAGGGGGGAATTTCTTGGAGCGTATGTGGTTAGACACAATAGCATTTTTCTTCTAAGTCAAGGTCATGTTATTTCTGCACCTGGGTGAGAGGACGTCTCAAGTCAGGACGGAGGGTGATTGGGGCATGTGATGCCATGATGGGCACAGCGGGTGGGTTTGTAGTTTTTACTTATTGCAAGGAAACCCGGAACTTTCTGGATTTTCCAGATATGCCAGTCTACTGCTCTAATAAAAAGAACCTTGGAGAGGGTGGCTGTCTTGGAGTTTTTTGTTGGAATAGAGGTTTTCTGGAATGCTGACACTAGTCCCGCCTTAGGCATGAAAGCCGGCTGGGTGACTTTGGGCCAATCGCCAGGAGACTGGGAGTTCTAGTCCTGCCTTAGACATGTAAGCCAGCTGACTGACTCTGGGCCAATCATTGGGAGACAGTGAGTTCTAGTCCTATCACAACCATGAAAACCATCTGAGTGACTTTGGGCCAATCGCCAGGAGACGGTGAGTTCTAGTCCTGCCTTAGGCATGAAAACCATCTGAGTGACTTTGGGCCAATCGCCAGGAGACTGGGAGTTCTAGTCCTGCCTTAGGCATGAAAGCCAGCTGGGTGACTTTGGGCCAATCGCCAGGAGACGGTGAGTTCTAGTCCTGCCTTAGGCATGAAAGCTGGCTGGGTGACTTTGGGCCAACCACCAGGAGACGGTGAGTTCTAGTCCT